GTAAGCAAAACAGACAATTATCTTTTCTTGTGTGACAACAAGATCGCAAATTCAAAAGCATCCGAAGCCCGCGGCTTATAACATGGCAAAAGAGGAACTCCCGTTCACAAAATTTGTAAGCAAAACAGTGACAACAAGATCGCGAATTCGAAAGTGAAAGCATCCGAAGCTCGCGGCTTAACACAGCAAAAGAGAAACTTTCATTCACAAAATTCAAATCACAAATAATACTACTGATGAAAAAGAACGGGTTGAATGTTAACCTCTTTCGTTTCCATATAACTATAAACTATGATAAAAGTTCATCAGCATGCATTGATTAATCCCATGTTGTAGCAAAAAAAAAACAATTGCGACCAAATCATGTGCTCATGCGATCAACTGAGAATGGGTTATATTTAACCCAGCATTTTTTAGAGTGTAAGAACACTCTAGATACAATTCAACAAACAATGCAAATCAGACTACAGGACATCCAGGCATGATGACGGTCAAAGCACGTGTTCAATAACAGTGAGATGTCACACGTGAAAACAATAACAACACTAGCGACTCACTTCAGAAACCTGAGTACACTCTAAAAAATGCTGGGTTAAATATAACCCAGCTACTGGGTTGTTTTGACCCAGCTATTGGGTTTTTGTGATCCAGCGGTTGGGTTCAAAACAACCCAACCGCTGGGTCAAAACAACCCAATAGCTGGGTTTGTCCCTTTTTAACCCAGCGCTGGGTTATATTTAACCCAGCATTTTTTAGAGTGTAACACAACACACCCTACACCCAACACACTGCTACACATTCACAGCGAGAGAAAAAGAAAGCAGACTCGGTTTCTTAAGATAAGACTCAGTACATACTTGCCACAGTAACTGTAATTGTCTAAACATTTATAGTCTGTCGGATAAGCCTCATGAGTCACATGTAACAACAGTGGGCGTTGATTCAGGACAGTTATATGGATACTGAAACTCTTACTCAAACAAGCCATGAGCTCAGTGTGATTTACAAACCGCCAAACAGTTTACACACAGTGACACCCAGCTGAGGTTCACAAATCGCGTTGCTACTAAACCCTCTACCTGTATTCATAAGCACAGGTTACATTATGGGCTGTATAAAGATATGCTTCAGTAAAAAATAATAATCCCATAACTAGTGTTGTCAAAAGACCCGGTATTTCGGTACCAAGTCGGTACTAAAAAAATTAAAACATGATCTCAGTGTGATTTACAAACCGCCAAACAGTTTACACACAGTGACACCCAGCTGAGGTTCACAAATCGCGTTGCTACTAAACCCTCTACCTGTATTCATAAGCACAGGTTACATCATGGACTGTACAGATATGCTTCAGTAAAAAAATAATAATCCCATAACTAGTGTTGTCATTTTAAATAAGTATAAAGAATGGCATTGGTTTTTGTACATTTAATTTTTGTTTAACGTTATTAATAAAAATGTTGTTCAATAAGCATGTTTTTGTGTTTTGCTTTGGTACCGAAATTGGTACAGAGAACCGTGGATTTTCACTGGTATTGGTACCGAATACTGAAATTTTGGTACCGTGACAACACTACCCATAACTAGACCTAATCATGGCACATCAAGCCACCAGGCCAGTTTCACAGTGTTTCACGACATCCCGCAGGAATCTGAGAGGTGCAACCCTTTAATGTGCATTTCAGACAATTAGCTGGTGACCGTGCAGATTTAACCAGCATATACAGATCAACACTAACCACAGATCCTGTTAACTGATGTTGGGTTAACATGATTAGCTATTATGGTAAAACAGAGAGCTGAATACAAGTTAAGGTCGATAAAATAAAATAATGGTCTTTAGACCTTCAGTTTCTAAACAGCAACATTAAAGGGAGTTCAGCATTGCATCAGGATAACTGATAAAACAATTTCAGAAATATAGTTGCAAGATATTAGCAGTTTTCAGACTTGTTTCGTTCGTTGGGTCAGAGTTCCTACTAAATCATACCGATTCATACAGAGCCCCTGAACATAATAATTAATAATACTAATTCATTTGTGGCTCATTATAGTAATGTGTTTCCTTGTTTTAGGCCAATTTGTGGCCGCAATATCACAACTTCTTTCAACTTGCCGTCATGTCTGGGCTTAATTTAATTGTGATAAAACATTTAAGTTTAATCCGCTTAAATCTATAAAATTAAAGTGAACTTAATCAGTTTGTTTTGGACTACATAAACAATTTTTGTCACCATAACTGGACAAGGAATTTCTAGTACCCAGCATGTTTTGCATGGGACTGAATTTGGATAGTAAATTGTAAAATTAAGCATAACTAGATACAAAAACGTTACTACTAGATACTAAATACAAAAAAAGTTCTTGATTCCTCTTTGCTTGCTCCATAGATCCCACAGTACATGCCATTTTTCCCTTGTTTGAACAAATGCTAGGATGTTGTGACATAGGAAAAAGAAGGCGGTGCTATTCGTTGTGCAAATGATGTCTATTTAGCATGAATAGCGAGAGATAGAGACCGTTAAACTGGTCTGAAGACACAAGACAAGGCAGGTTGTGTATGACACACGGGGCGCTTTGGAATGTTTATGGGTTTTGGCAGCTCCTTTGGCCTAGATGCTCTTAACTGATCTGGCAAGGGTTTGACAGCACACTATATTTCCCCCATTATATCATAAAATTGTTGTTTTCTCATGATTTATTTATTTGTTTTTTAATTCAAAAATTGGTTTGATTTTTTGGTTATGAGCTAAATCTATTTTCTCGTTCCAGTTTTAGTTTCAAGGCCTCCTTTACAAAAGGTTACCAGTTACCATAATACCATAATGAGAGTTTATTGTGCTAATATGTTTTGAATACAACAATAAAATTGTATCACAGTTATTTTTTGGACTTTAGACAAATTCAGTTTTATTTGTGCATTTAAAATTTCAAATGATCTAGCAACAGACCCTTAGTCTGACTTGGTCAGTGAAAAATACACCACCGTTCAAAAGTTTGGGGTCACTAAGATCAGCAAGAATGCATTCAATTGATCAAAAGTGGCATTTATAATTACTAATCATATTAACTTCTTAATCAAAGAATCCTGAAAAAAAAACTGCCATGGTTTATACAAAATATGAAGCAGCACAACTGTTTTCAACATTGGTAATAATAATCATGTTTCTTGAGCAGCAAATCAGCATATTAGAATGATTTCTGAAGGATCGTGTGAAAAAACACATTACACATGTGGAAAAACCTATAAAGAAGATACACAAAAACACCCTCAAGTCAAAAACTACAAACTCCTCCAATGAAAGTCTAGCTGTGACTGTGAAATCGTATATTGTTTTATGAAAATTCTGTGAAAATGTACATATCAATTATATGATGAAAGCTCACTTCTGACTGGTCAATGACATGGCATCCAAAAACAGACTCTTATACACCTTCATTTACAAAGTCCTACACATTACCCATTAAGTGTCTGCCAATTAGGTCTACTTGGTCTACTTACTGGAAAAACACACTGTCCTCGCGTTGTTTGGAAAAAAGAAGGGCACAGTGACAAGATAAAACAAGGTGGCTCATTGTCACGACACCACAACCTTGATAAAACAGAATAATAAAGTAATGAAAGTGAACGTAACACTTTCAAAGCACAGGCCACAACAACACCAGGCACTGATCTTCACCTGACACACACAACCTCAATCAATGTTTCTACAAAGCACTGCTTCAGCCTCAATGAGCTCTTTGTTCCAGGAAGGCTGCGCATTCCTCTCATATCAGTGACATACGTGAGAATCGGATCAGAGTCGACGGCCTGAACTCACTGAGTGTAACGTACAGCTATGATAATGGTAGAGGACATCACACACAGACGTCGAGGACACTGTGTGTGTAAATAAACACAGAGGTCAAGAGTCAATGGAAGAACTGATCGCGCTACTACAGTGATCAAACGTTAAGTGAGAAAAGAGTATGGCATGCGATGCCATTTGATAGAGAACAAACAGAAGATTCACGGCAACACCTTAAAACAACATAAGCCATCAGAAGGTGCTTGTCTGAAACTGAGGGATGTACAGTGTGTGTGTGTGTGTGTTACAGTATGCACTAGTGCTGCTGCACCAGAACAACTGCTGCTTATTTGAGCCTTATAAAAAAAAAAAAACTTCTGCTCACCAAAGGGTGTTTTCATTTGATTGAAAATACAGTAAAACAGTCATAATGCAAAATATCATCACAATGTAAAACAACTGTTTTCTATTTGAATGAATGTTAAAATATAATTCATTTCTTTGATGCAAAGCTGATTTGAATCAGTTTAAATCAATCAGCATAACAGCTCCCATCAAAAATTATATAAAAATAAACTTTATTTCCAGCTCATTCAACGCCCTGTAAAGTTAAGATGAAGTTGATGCTTTCAATGTATTTCGGTATGAATCGTTTTATGAATGAGCTCCGCAGCCTCTATCAGTGTTTTGATGCAGTAAAAGAAGGACAAGGCTGCATGTTGGGTTGCGATTTTCAGAGCTGGAGACGACGTCAACAAGAAACCACTTGAGTCAGCTTGAATCAACAGACAGCACAAACAGGTTTTCTCCTTTAGCGCTACTGCACACAACTCCTGCACCAAACACATGGTCATACACGATTAAAAAGAAGCAATGTAGAAGCTGCTATAGAGAGCTACACATTCTCATATCATCGGTAAGGTCTAATCCGAGAGGAAGCGTGCTTGACAGAAACATGAGAATGTCCACAGCGTACATTCACCCCACCAGCCCATGCCTGTCTCTTACTCCTCCCTTCACGTCGATAAGCGTACACCTGCGATCGCTCAGACTAGTACACTTGGCATGAGTACGCATACGCAAGAAGACCAGATTCCCTCCAGCGGAAGAAGCAAAACAGGTCTGGCTTTCAAACAAACCGTGAGAAAGCCGGTTAAATGCATCCCATCATCTTCATACTCGGGAATCCATGTCTTCTCCGAAGGGACTCACCTGTTATGTAGGCAGGGTTCGGGTTTAAAGTCTGAGTGCTGGCTCCCTGTCCCATAATCTTGCCCTGCACCCCTGCGCCCCGTCCTCTGCCTGTCCCGCGGCAGGGAGGGCAAACACAGTTCCACTATTCTCTGTAATCCTAGATGTGGGAGCTCACGCTCGACCCGTTCATTCGTCCCTCCTTCTTGCTTCACAACTTCTGTTTTGGTGGCTCGCTTGCTCCGAGTCAACAACTCCTGAAGGTCCCTCCCTCCCAGTAGCCTTGACTTCATAAATAACATACGCCGCTCGTCTGAAGCACGTCAGCTGGCTGGGATGCCGCTCATTCCCGGTGCCGGAATTTTTTTCCGCAGCGAGATGGGAGCCGGGCTTTAGGGTCTTGACCTTAGCTCGCTACACACCTTCATTTCCCAAAATGCAAGAGACGGCGCAGTGTAACCTGAGAGTGGCTGCAACACGAGTAGGGGCTGAGGTGGAGCGCTTGACTGGCAGGAAGTGACATCACAGAGGGCTCAGGTTACAGGGAGTGAGACAGATAGTGACACGCGTGTGTGGGAGTGAAATGAAGACCGTTCACAGTATATACTTACACTGATGCTGAACAGCTAGGCGTAACCAAAACAGGATGAAAAATTCCAGACGATTATGGTGATGAGAAATTTAATTAAGCAACGCAATGTTGTAATGTGGTTGGTATAGTCGCAGTCACGTCTACTGCCCAGTAACATCTAATGAGAATATGCAAAGTCATACTTTATATGTTGTGAATAGTATATTGCATTTAGCAAAGATGCCACTTTGTGTATTCGTTAGGAATGATTGAGATAAAGTCATCAGATGAAGCTGTACCTTCACATCTACTGTGGAGAGACTAACAAAATTTACTTTTTCTGAACAATTCATGACTTTCAAATCAACAGGTGTGTCAGGGTGGATGCATGAAATCATCCATACATTGTGAAAAGTAACCATACAGCTGAGGTTTATCACAAACTATATATAAAACTATATATATATATACAGTGGGTACGGAAAGTATTCTCAGCATATTAGAATGATTTCTGAAGGATCGTGTGACACTGAAGACTGGAGTAATGATGCTGAAAATTCACCTTTGATCACAGAAATAAATTACATTTTACTATATATTCACATAGAAAACAGTTATTTTAAATTGTAATATTTAACACTATTACTGATTTTATTGTATATTAATCAAATAACTTCTTTCAAAAACACTTTTAAAAATCCTATCAGATAATATAAAAAAAAAAAAAAAAAAAAAAGGTAAACCAAAAAGAACTCCATGTTAAGCTGTTACATTAAATCTCTCAGGATAAGGGAGTTCTCCAAACAGGACATGATGTGGCTCGTTATCTGGAGTCTGGGATCAGAGAGATGGAGCACTGAGACGGAGGAGGACAGAAAACCAAAGCTGGCTGTGTTTAGTGCCAGTCAGAGCCAGGTTTTGCAGTGACTCACACTCACACTCACACTCTCACACACACACTCACACACACACACACACACTCACAGCTTGGATAAACTCACTTAAGCTGTCAGCAGACAAAAGCCAGACAAGGGATGAATGAAGCAAGATAGATAAAACTGGTTCATTAAAAAGGATACAAAACGTAATGCTACACATTTAATGCTCTTAGTGTATAATAAATAATTTGTTTAAGCGTCAGTTAAGGGATTCCCCAAGCATCCCAATAATAATGACAGAAATAAGAAAAACTCCACTGGTCTGCACTTCAGATAAACAAAGCAGACAGTTTTATTCTGCCAGCGGAGCGTGTTAACAGCACTGCCCTTTAAAGCACTTGAGAGAGCATCCAACTGCTCAACTTTCCCACAATCAGTTTAAACTGAAAAGGGGTTCCATAGTTTTGAAAAAAAAATTGTAAAAAAATTATTTATTTTGATAAATATGCCTTCAGGAACTCTAAAGCTTTAAATCTTCTTGTATGATGTACATAATGCTTTCACATTCTTATAATCAGGGTTCGTACACATTTTTACCAATACATTTCCATTACTTTTCCATGACTTTTGAGACAATATTCATGACCTAAATGTTCCATTATTTTACAATAAGAATAAAAATCTGTTCAAATTATCATAGCATATGTTAACTAAAATGAATGACTATTAATGCTACTCGTTTGCTTTCTTGTTTTAGTAATAAGTACAAGCTGCAACTGCGCCAGACGTTACTCCACATTTCACATATCACATCACTGAATATTATCATTTATTTAACTGTGTGGCCAGGATGGCCATTTTGGTGTCATTTTGTGTGTATTTTTGCTGCTTAAATGCAACAAGCTGCGCTTTAGAGCCCTGCATTTCAGCCCGAGCCCAACGGCTTCAACTTATTTATGGCTTCGGGACAATTTTCACGTCATAGCTCAGACACGGGCCAGGCATCAGGCTTGCTTCCTCCTTATTTTTATATATTAGATAAGCATCAATTATTATGGTGATGACAAAGATTTGCCGCGCTGGTGGAAACAACAGGAGACCGTGCTACCGCGACTGTGAGTGGCTCGGACGGTGTTTAGTGTCCAGCAGCAGCGAGTGCTGGTAGAGTTCCATGTTAAAGCGCACGCAAAGCTTGCCGCAAAACGCCAGCAAGCAATTACCATGATGAATGCCCCAGGGGAAATAGAATATTCAGAGTTTCGGTTCATTTTTGTGAAGCGCTCCTGCTCAAGACCGAGACAGCAGAAAGCGTATCCTGTTTGTTTTCTAAAAAAGCACAACTTATGCTAATATTGTGAGTGCACACAAATAAAAGTAGACCCTTAACAGTCCCGAATGATGTATTTTGTGTAGATTAATTTAGTAAAAAAGGCTTGCCTGCTTTCTTTGGCGTGTATTTGTATACTTTTACTATCTAATCAATCTCAGCATGTGTTAATTTTGTGTCTCTAAACGTTTGTATCACTAAGGTTAATTTATGCCTACGTCTTTCTTTGGCCTGCGCTCTGGAAGTGATCTGTTAATTCTGCTAAACTTGAATTAAAACTGAAACTAAAACTGAAACTAAACTATATAAAAACTAAATAAAAATGCGTTTACAAAATAAAAACTAAACTAAAACTAACAAAAATATGAATGAAACTAATAAAAACTAAACTGAATTTTATAGCAAATTTGAAAACGATATTAAAAATAAAACTAATAAAAAAATTCTAAACTATATTAACCTTTAATCTGTCGGATAAGGGCCGGACTAGGGCATATGTTTGAGGCCCGTGCAGGGTTCTGCTGAGCTTATTTGGAAGCAAACTCAATTTGGTACTGGCAAGGTGGCTTTATATACGCACGAGCGCACTTTGGATGTGACTGCTGGAGCGCGCGAGTACCGAATGGCTTAAAAAGACATGCAAATAAATAATAAAATTTTCTGACGATGCAACAATGACCCGATTAGGCAAGTGACAATTCTGTCAACTGTCCCGAAATGCGAGTGAAAGTCTTGTATCGCAGCGTGCAGCGGCTCTTGTAGCGCAGACAAGATGCGCCGATGTGAAGCCGTTTGAAGAGAAAGTCAAAGAGAGAAGACGCGTACAGCTGAATCACTCACGCTGTTTTCAAATGACTGATTTGATCAGTCTGTGTGGACTGGACTCAGTCTGTAGGTTTGATTATTTACTCATCAAACCTACATGCTATAGGCTATTGAATAAATGTGTGAATATCCATCATTTTAAAGTCAAAAGCTGCGGGAATGAGTAAAACTATGCGATATAGCCTATGCGCAATCCCGCACCAAAATTCAGGACCTGATTAAACACAATTCTATTATACAGAGTTTTGTGAAATAGATTTCAATGACTTTTCCAAAACTTTCTGGGTTTATTTATTTTTCCAAAACTTTTCCAGGCCTGGAAATTGGTGTTTTAAAATTCCATGACTCTTCCAGGTTTTTCATGACCGTACGAACCCTGTATAATGCATGCTTGAATTATTGTGTACTGTGTATAAAAAATAATAAATTAATTTTGCATGCTTGCCTCAAAGGCCTTTCTTCTTATAGCATGAGCTGTTTTATTTAGTGATCATGGCTGTGTCAATTTCTTGTCTCATCCTTTTTGGTGTGCGACGTTTACGGTCTCAGACAACATCTGTAGTCCCATTTATGTTTTCAAATGACTGATTTGATCAGTCTGTGTGGACTGGACTCAGTCTGTAGGTTTGATTATTTACTCATCAAACCTACATGCTATAGGCTATTGAATAAATGTGTGAATATCCATCATTTTAAAGTCAAAAGCTGCGGGAATGAGTAAAACTATGCGATATAGCCTATGCGCAATCCCGCACCGAAATTCAGGACCTGATTAAACTCAATTCTATTATACAGAGTTTTGTGAAATAGATTTCAATGACTTTTCCAAAACTTTCTGGGTTTATTTATTTTTCCAAAACTTTTCCAGGCCTGGAAATCGGTGTTTTAAAATTCCATGACTTTTCCAGGTTTTTCATGACCGTACGAACCCTGTATAATGCATGCTTGAATTATTGTGTACTGTGTATAAAAAATAATAAATTAATTTTGCATGCTTGCCTCAAAGGCCTTTCTTCTTATAGCATGAGCTGTTTTATTTAGTGATCATGGCTGTCAATTTCTTGTCTCATCCTTTTTGGTGTGCGACGTTTAAGGTCTCAGACAACATCTGTAGTCCCATTTAGCCAGTTATTAGCAAGACCCTTTTTCAAGACACAAGCTTACAAAAATAATAATAATAATAAGACTAGTGGGGGATTACTGGAGTATTAAATGACATACACTAAAACATGAAAATACTGTAAGCTTCTAGTAACCACAGACCTTATTTCAGGAATTTAACCCCCCCCCAAAAAAGACCAGCTGTTTATTAAAACAGCAGAAACCGAATGATCTTCTTGAGGTGCAGCTGATTGTTTTTGGTGTCTCAGAAGGTCTGAAAGAATCACAGAATAATTCACTGGAATCTGAAAAATTACGATTCCTTTTCCTATAGAGCACTGCGATATCAACTTTAAGCTCATGGGTTGGATTCT